GTCCTGGGTGAGGATGGGAAACCGGGAGCGAAGGAGCTGTCCCAGAGCAGAGGAGTTGCGTGCCCAGGGATGGCTGGGACACTATCGAGTGGCAGCGTGGGAGGCTGAGGGCCGGCTAAGGGTGCACCCGGCGCTGTCAGCGCAGCTGAGCTGCACCTGTCTCGAGACACCACTGTCTGGGAAGCCGGAACTGGGCGTGTGTGTGGGTATAGGGGGCTCCTATGGCCCCTCCAACCTTCCTGTAAGTCTAAGAATGATCCCCAGACAGCTTGGAAAGAGACGCAAAAGACAAGACAAGCCCATGTGACCACACAGCGCCTGCGCTGTGGCGCGGGACCAGCTTCTGATCCGTCAAGGGGCAGAGAGATGAGCATTGATTGAGAAACCAGCAAAAGTGCGAGTCCTCATGAGTGCCTGGGTCCGGGTCTCTATCGCGATGGTTAGCAAAGGGCTCCACACCGAGCGTGTTTCCCACCTGAAGATCTTGCCAGGTGCACTGCGGAGTTTTGACAAATAGACCCTGCAAACCAGGCGGCCCGGACACAGACTGCAGCCCCACAGTGCTTTGCGACAGCCTGGCCCTTCACAGCACTCCACTAAACTCAATGAAAAGAACTCAGAAATCCCTTTGGAGATTTAATTTTTTTTCATAAAAATGAAAGTTGATAGAGTCCACTAAAGGAAACATTTTTTTTTCCTGCCTTGGCAAAAGAGCCAAGACAGAGACACAGAACATAGAGCAACACAACAAAGCCAATTCCTTCATCAGCAAGGACTGCAGAGAGAGCCGGGGCCACAGCAGAGGTCCAGAGTGCTGTATCTTGGGTGAGATTTATGAAGACTTGCTATCGAGCTGGACCAAGGGCGGGACCTGGACAAATCAGAGTGACAATGTAGCCCCCTGAGGCTGGAGGCCCGGCAGCTGCGTTCCGAACACGGAGCTCTGACGCCAGCCGGACAGCGCAGGGACTGGGGCTGAGGCTGCTTCAGCCAGTGAGAAGGGCTCGGGCCCAGCGAGCGCCCACCTGGGACTGCTGTTACCCGCCACCACAGGCCAGCCCACAGCGGCACACATGTGCTCTCTGATGCCACCAGCTGGCCAACCGTGTGGAGACGGAGCTAAACATCTTATAGTGTCACTGGTCACGGCACCATCCGTCACAGTGCTCTGCCGACTCGGGCAGCGCTGCCCACAGCCCCCGGCCACCCAGGGCTCTGTGGTGCCCCCAGGCCCAGGGCGCACGCGACGTGTGCACAGAGGGACGGCCGTCAGCACCGCTGTCTGGCACTTCAGAAGAAAACACACATTTTCAGGCTGCTCCTTTTATGGGTAGGAGATGAATGAGAACATAAATACTTTAAGGAAGAAATTTCAGCGCCAGAAGTCCTAAGAATAAATGTCTGGGCTTCTTCCAGTGCTGTGGCACTGTGGAGCCAGAGGCGTGGACGCTCAGCGCTCTTAGCCCCACATACTCAGGAGCCTTCAAAACGAGTACTTTCAGCCTTCAAAATTAACTTCCAAATAAAGAATTAGAGTAGGTTTTGAACATATTTGTTAAAAGTATGCAAATGTGAAGAATACTTAATAAATTAGTAAAACCAAATAATTGTCAGAAAGGAGCTCACCACCTGGATGCCATTAAAATATGAAAGTGTGCGTGTGACTTAGGGTTGAGTTGACAGATGTGACTGAGCACAGCCTATGACGTACTCTCTTCCCATTCAGAGCTGCCCAGTTTAGGAGGGTCTTTTTAACAACGGTGACCACTGAGGCGAGACCTTCTTTGGGGAAGGCCCCTAAAGCCAAGACTGTGACTCAGCGAGTCACAGAACACTAACCCAACACTGAAAAACAATGAAGCAAATTTAGTAAGGTGGCTAAACTTAAAAATATCAGTGGCCAGGTGTGGTGGCGCACGCCTGTACTCCTAACACTCAGGAGGCTGAGGCAGGAGGACTGTTGCAAGTTCAAGACCAGCCTGGGCTACAGAGTGAGCTCAAGGCCAGCCTGAGCTGCACAGCCAGACCCTGTCTCCAAAAGAACAAAAAAAAAGAAAGAAAGAAAATTAGTGGTGATAATTCCATAACAAAGCAAAACCTTATAGCCTCTATGTGTTATAGTCAGAAAGAGATCCAATGTGTGCTTTGGGACAGGTCAGCTCAGAAGGACGGCAGCACTACGTGCAAAGGGTCAAGGCCAAAGTCCTCCTCGGCCTGACGCTGCCTGTCGGAGGTGCGTACTTCTTGTCTTCTTCCTTCTGGTACACCCTGGTCTCCAGTCCTTGGGGCTCATCCCTGCCTGCGGACGCTTTTCCTACATTAGCACTGCCTAGGGCGTGTGGAAGTCGTCTGCTGCAGCTCTGTATCTGCTGGCGGGGCCTCTGGAGGCCAGCGGTCATGAGGACCTCGTCTCTGTTCTCCCCAGCTCTCTCCCCCAGGCTCTGTATCTGCTGGCGGGGCCTCTGGAGGCCAGCGGTCATGAGGACCTCGTCTCTGTTCTCCCCAGCTCTCTCCCCCAGGCTCTGTATCTGCTGGCGGGGCCTCTGGAGGCCAGCGGTCATGAGGACCTCGTCTCTGTTCTCCCCAGCTCTCTCTCCTTGCTTCCTGCACAGAGTGTGGGCGACACCGTGCTGCACAGTCGCGGGCAGGAACCAGCTCTGCAGCCCTCCCTCTGGGGGCCTGGGCTTCGGATGCTGCCCTGGGCTGCCCCTGCCGGACCTGCGTGACAGCTGGAGAGCTGCAGTTGTGGCCTCCTTGCCTCAGCCGTGCTCCTGTGCTCACTGCCAGCCAGGAACCTGAGGCGCACACTGCCAGGCCCCGGCCGAGGCGGCCGTGCTCATGCTGTGGGCCTGGTACCCACGGGGCACCCAGACACTCATAGTATGGCTTCCTCCACCCTCCTGTTCTTCAGAGTTTATGTAGTGAGTTTCCAAGTGAGGCTCCGAGGCTTCTATCCATGAGGCGTTCCATAGCCCGAGAGCTCTGCTGTGCACGCTGGGGTCTCTAAGGAAGACGCTGGCACTGGGGCTTGATCCTAGAGGTCGCCCCAAAGCCTCACGCTGCCATTAGCAGGGCTTTGGGAAGGTGACTGGGCCAGGGGAGCTGGCAGCTGAACTGCTGCCAGGAGGTGGGTGTGGTTGGAAGAGCGGGCTGTTGGGTGGGGACCAGAAGGCTCTGTCTCCCTGCCCAGCACCTACAGCTGCTTCCTGTGCCCCATGCTGTGAGCTGCTCTCCCCCGCCCAGCCCCTCTGCCTTGGACTGAAACCTCTGGGAACTGCGCACCAGGGAGAATCTCTCCTTTTTTCCCAGATGTCAGGTTCCACGTCTCTGTGAGGAGAAGGTGACTCTGGAACGGCAACGAGCAGGACCAGCTGGGTTCCGGACTGCAGCCTTCAGAACTCAGCAGTTCACGCACAGCACTCAGCTCCTCTCCCCTCCTGGGTCCCGAGCCCCACCCTGTTCTCTCACCGCAGCCCCTGGAGCTGTCTGCCCACTCTGGGGGAGGCTGGGGCAGGGAGAACTCCAGGGGCCCCCTTGGCACCTAGAGTCTGAGTCTCCAGGAAGGGCTGCAGGGAGGCCGGTGTGCTGTGCGTGCCCAGCCCGAGGGGTACTCACGTCAACAGCAACCCAAGGGGCTCTGTCAGTCACCAGAGGAGCTGAGAGGGGACTCCTGTTGAGGAACAACAGCACCGCAGCTTCCATTCCCAACCCTGTCTGCCTTGCAGGCAGTTCCGGGCATAAGGCCGGGCGCACAGTACAGGATGCAGGCCCTCCAGCCAGGGCTCCATTGACCAGCAGCTGATCTCACCCAGCCACTCCTCTCAGGGCTGCGCCCAAGTGGAAGATGAGGGAGATGGGGAGAAGAGATCTCCACTTCAGCCACTGGAAAGTGTATCCAAAGAGGGTGGCGGCAAAGCTGATTCTGTATTCCTTTTTTTGCAGTAGTGGGGACCAAATTTCAGGCTCTGGGTATGCTCTTTCCCTGAGCCACACCTTGTCCCATTTTTAAGTCAGCTGCACCCCAGGCCCAGCACACGGCTCACAGCCCAGCCCTGAAGCTTCATGGCCGGGCCCTCATTGGACTCTAACTTCTCCCCAAGGTATGTTGCCCTCCTGCTTTCTCCATGTGGGGACACAGTCGGCACAGGACGCAGCTTGTGCCGCCCAGCGATGACTCTGAAGTGTGGGGCAGCTCTGGGAGATGCCTGCAGTGAACCCGAGACTCCTAGGGTGCAGCCCCCACAGAGGTCCTGCAATGAGGCTAGACAGGTGCTGGCGTGAGGCCAGAAGAGCTGTGGCTTGTAGGTGGTTATTCTGGACTCGGGTTTTTTCCAAACTACTAGGTTCTCCCGTGATCCACCTTGCTCTTCCAGAACCATCCCCAGCACTCATCGCTCCTGTGCCGGCCCGGCTTTTCCTGCCTCGGTGGTTGTGTCTGAGAAGCTGATGCTCAGCATGACCTCACCTTCCTCCCACGTGCGAGCCTGCACATGCCCGAGTAGCCAAAGGTGCTGCGGTGCCCGAGCCATGGGCTGCTCTCCTCTGTACCTGCACCAAATTCTCCCCAAGAAACAGACTTCTCCTGGATAGATGGTGTGATTCCACTTGGATTTTCTTCTCTGCTTTAATGATTTTCTTCCAGGTGAACTCAGTTCCCAGGTTATGAAGGTTGGGGTCTGTAACTCAGCCCCGGAGTTTGCTGGTTACAACTCAACGGGGGCAATGTCGCGCTAAGGCTGAGCTGAGTGCCTGAAATCCATCAGGGCTGAAAGGCCTCCACAGAACACTCCCATGAGAGCATCGGGTCAGACACTGTGTTTTCCTTGGGACAATGTGCTGGTGGAAACCTAGCCCGCACCTAGGGAAGGAGCTCTGGCCCAGAGGTGACAGGTGTGTCAGCTCTGCGGTGTTCAGTGGGAGACTCGGAGTAAGGAGATGTGACGTCTATAGGGTTCTCAATTTTCTAACCAATAAGATTCACTTTGTCCAGATTTTCTTACAACAGCAGTTTCTTATAGCAGTTCCAAGTGTGGGACACCATCCCCACCCACTCGCCCCCGAACTCCTCTACCTTTGGAGGTCCAGGATGGAGCTGGGAGGCCGACTTCTGCTGCAGTGAGCTTGCTGCCCTGCAGATGTCCCTGGTAGGGACAGCCCCTGGCTCACCCATCTGGCATCCCTCACACTGCTCCTCACTCACGCTTGGGCTCCAGTCTTCCAGCATAGCCTGTCTTCACCTCTTGCTACAGGTTCGGGCTGGAAGAGTGCTGTCGACAGGATGGTGAGGGGCAGGCAGGACACTCCGGCCTGGGCCAGGTGAGGAGAGGAAGAAGTGGCAGAACTCAGCTTCCTGGTATCCAGACGTGCAGATCTTAGGACGCAGAGAGCGGACAGGCGTGTCCTCTTGCTCCCATCCCCACACCTGGCATTTCCTGCGCCTCCCTGCTGGTACCCATCACAGCATGACCACCCCGAGGACAGGCACCAGGGCTCGCTGAGCTCACTCCAGCCATGCCCACAGGCCCACGGCAGATGCTGAGCTGGCCAG